ATGTTGCCTGCAGGATGGGGTAGAGATAGTGAGTGTTGCTGCAGGATGTGAGGGAGAATAGTGAGTGTTGCCTGCAGGATGTGAGGGTAGAGATAGTGAGTGTTGCCTGCAGGATGTGAGGGAGAGAAGTGAGTGTTGCCTGCAGGAGTGAGGGTAGAGTAGTGAGTGTTGCCTGCAGGATGTGAGGAGAGATAGTGAGTGTTGCCTGCAGGATGTGAGGTAGAGATTGAGTGTTGCCTGCAGGAGTGAGGAAGAAGTGAGTGTTGCCTGCAGGATGTGAGGGTGAGATAGTGATGTTGCCTGCAGGAGTGAGGGAGGATAGTGAGTGTGCCTGCAGGATGTGAGGGAGAGATAGTGAGTGTTGCCTGCAGGATGTGAGGGTAGAGATAGTGAGTGTTGCCTGCAGGTGTGAGGGTAGAGATAGTGAGTGTTGCCTGCAGGATTGAGGGTAGAGATATGAGTGTTGCCTGCAGGATGTGAGGGAGAGAAGTGAGTGTTGCCTGCAGTGTGAGGGAGAGAAGTGAGTGTTGCCTGCAGGATGTGAGGGGAGATAGTGAGTGTTGCCTGCAGATGTGAGGGAGAGATAGTGAGTGTTGCCTGCAGGATGTGAGGGTAGAGATAGTGAGTGTTGCTGCAAGATGTGAGGGAGAGATAGTGAGTGTTGCCTGCAGGATGTGAGGGAGAGATAGTGAGTGTTGCCTGCAGGATGTGAGGGTAGAGATAGTGAGTGTTGCTGCAGGATGTGAGGGTAGAGATAGTGAGTGTTGCCTGCAGGATGTGAGGAGAGATAGTGATTGTTGCTGCAGGATGTGAGGGAGAGATAGTGAGTGTTGCCTGCAGGATGTGAGGAGAGATAGTGAGTGTTGCCTGCAGGATTGAGGAGAGATAGTGAGTGTTGCCTGCAGGTGTGAGGGAGAGATAGTGAGTGTTGCCTGCAGGATTGAGGGAGAGATAGTGAGTTTGCTGCAGGATGTGAGGGAGAGATAGTGAGTGTTGCCTCAGGATGTGAGGGAGAGATAGTGAGTGTTGCCTGCAGGATGTGAGGGAGAGATATGAGTGTGCCTGCAGGATGTGAGGAAGATAGTGAGTGTTGCCTGCAGGATGTGAGGGAGAGATAGTGAGTGTTGCCTGCAGGATGTGAGGAGAGATAGTGAGTGTTGCCTGCAGGATGTGAGGGTAGAGATAGTGAGTGTTGCCTGCAGGATGTGAGGGAGAGATAGTGAGTGTTGCCTGCAGGATGTGAGGGAGAGATAGTGAGTGTTGCCTGCAGGATGTGAGGGAGAGATAGTGAGTGTTGCCTGCAGGATGTGAGGGAGAGATAGTGAGTGTTGCCTGCAGGGTGTGAGGGTAGAGATAGTGAGTGTTGCCTGCAGGATGTGAGGGAGAGATAGTGAGTGTTGCCTGCAGGATGTGAGGGAGAGATAGTGAGTGTTGCCTGCAGGATGTGAGGGTAAGATAGTGAGTGTTGCCTGCAGGATGTGAGGGAGAGATAGTGAGTGTTGCCTGCAGGATGTGAGGGTAGAGATAGTGAGTGTTGCCTGCAGGATGTGAGGGAGAGATAGTGAGTGTTGCCTGCAGGATGTGAGGGAGAGATAGTGAGTGTTGCCTGCAGGATGTGAGGGTAGAGATAGTGAGTGTTGCCTGCAGAATGTGAGGGTAGAGATAGTGAGTGTTGCCTGCAGGATGTGAGGGATAAGATAGTGAGATGTTGCCTGCAGGATGTGAGGGTAGAGATAGTGAGTGTTGCCTGCAGGATGTGAGGGAGAGATAGTGAGTGTTGCCTGCAGGATGTGAAGGAGAGATAGTGAGTGTTGCCTGCAGGATGTGGAGGGAGATAAGTGAGTTTGCCTGCAGGATGTAGGGAGAGATAGTGAGTGTTGCCTGCAGGATGTGAGGGTAGAGATAGTGAGTGTTGCCTGCAGGATGTGTAGGAGAGATAGTGAATGTTGCCTGCAGGATGTGAGGGAGAGATAGTGATGTTGCCTGCAGATGTGAGGGAGAGATAGTGAGTGTTGCCTGCAGGATGTGAGGGTAGAGATAGTGAGTGTTGCCTGCAGGATGTGAGGGAGAGATAGTGATGTGTGCACTGACAGGATTTGCTGAGGGTAAGGAAGTGAGGTTGCCTGCAGATGTGATGGGTAGAGTATGAGTGTTGCCTGCAGATAGTGAGGGAGAGATAGTGATAGTTGCCTGCAGGATGTGAGGAAGATAGTGATGTTGCCTGCAGGGTGTGAGGAGAGATAGTAGTGTTGCCTGCAGGATGTGAGGGTAGAGATAGTGAGCTGTTGCCATGCAGATGTTGAGGGTAGAGATAGTGATGTTAGCCTGCAGGATGTGAGGGAGGAGATTGAGTGTTGCCTGCAGATGTGAGGGTAGAGATATGAGTGTTGCCTGCAGGAATTGAGGTAGAGAAGTGAGTGTTGCCTGCATAATATGTGAGGGTAGAGATAGCTGAAGTGTTGCCACTGCAGATGTGAGGGAAGATAGGAGTGTTAGCCTGTCAGGAATGTGAGTAGAGATAGTATGTCACCTGCAGATGTAGGGTAGAGTAAAGTGACTGTCCCAGTGTGTTGACGAGGGTATTAAAGTGAGTGTTGCACCAGATGTCGAGGGATATTGATGTAATGTCACCAGATTGAGGGATAAGATAGTGCAGTGTGCGCAGATGTTAGGAGGATATGATGTCCTCTGTACAACAAGTGAAGTGGTCTTGCTGTGCAAGATGTTAGAGAGATAGTGAGTGTTGCCTGCAGATGTTAGGAGAGATAGTGAGTGTTGCCTGCAAAGGAAGTGAGGGTAGAGATAGTGAGTGTTGCCTCAGATGTCGAGGAGGATATGAGTGTTCCTGCAGGAGTGAAGAGATAGTGAATGTTGCCCTGCAGATTATGAGGGAGAGATTTTGAGTGTTGCCTGCAGGATGTGAGGAGAGAGAAGTGAGTGTTTTCCTGCAGGATGTGAGGGAAGATAGTGATGTTCCTGCAGGAATGTGGGAGAGATAGTGATTTTTGCCTGCAGATTGAGGGAGAGATATGAGTGTTGCCGCAGGTGTGAGGGTAGAGAAGTGAGTGTGCCTGCAGGATGTGAGGGGAGAAATATGAGTGTTGCCTGCAGGATGTGAGGGTAGATAGTGAGTTTTTGCCTGCAGGATGTGGGGAGAGATAGTGATGTTTTCCTGCAGGATGTGAGGAGAAAATAGTGAGTTGCCATGCAGGATGTGAGGAGAGATAGTGTGTTGCCTGCAGGAAGTGAGGGAGAGATAGTGGAGTGTTGCTGCAGAGTGTGAGGGAGAGAAGTGAGTGTTGCCTGCAGGGTGTGAGGGGAGATAGTGAGTGTTGCCTGCAAAATGTAGGGAAAGATTAAGTGATGTTGCCTTTCAGATTGAGGAGAGAATAGTGTTTCCCCAGATGTAGGGGAGAGATAGAAGGGGTTGCTGCAGGATGTGAAAGGGAGAAATGAGGTTCCCGCAGGGATTGAGGAGAGATAGTGAATGTTGGGCCGCAGATGTGAGGGAGAAATTAGTTGCCAGCAGGATGTGAGGGGAAAAGAAAAAGTGAAATGTTGCCTGCAGGATGGAGGGAAGAGATAGTGAGGTTGCCCGCAAATAGGGAGAGATAAAGGGTGTTGGTTTAGGATGGAGAGAGAGAAAGTGAGGTTGCCCGCAGGATGTGAAAGGGGGAGAAGTGAAAATGTCCTGCAAGAAGTGAAAAGGGGAGATAGGAGTGTCCCCGCAAAAGGAGATGAACGAGGGGGAGAAGGATGTTTCCGCCCGGATGGAGGTAAGATAAGAGTGCCTGCAGAATGGAGAGGAGGAAAAATAGTGGGGGTGCCGCAGGATTGAGGGAGAATAGAGTGTTGCCTGCAGGATGGAGGAGAGATTGTGAGTTTTGCCTGCAGGATCTGAGGTTAGAGATAGTGAGTGTTGCTTGCAGGATGTGAGGGACGGGTATTGAGTGTTGCCTGCAGGATGTGAAGGAGAGATAGTTAGTGTTGCCTGCTGGATGTGAGAGGAAAGATAATGAGTGTAGCCTGCAGAATGTGGGGGAGAGATAGTGAGTGTTGCCTGCAGGTATCTACAGAAAGATAGTAACTGTTGCCTGCAGGATGTGAGGCGAGAAACAGTGAATGTTACCTGCAGGATGTGAGGCGAGAGATACCAATTTATCTGCATGTCTCCAAGACAGCCTCCTCCGTCTCGCTTATCATCTCAAGCGACTGGAGACAAACCCGGCATTACAGCCGTTATTAATACTGAAATTTACGAGTCTCCAGCTCACACATTATCTGGTCAAGCTTCAGTGAGCTTCGTGTAATAAATTGGTTGGCTTATTAAGCTATAAGCTTAACTGTAACACGAGGTTCATCAAGCGTCATCAGTCACTACAGGAGGGTGATTAAGACTGTCAACTGTACAACACCAGTCGTTATACGAGGGTCATTAAGACTGTCACCTGTACAACACCAGTCATTATACGAGGGTGATTAAGACTGTCAACTGTACAACACCAGTCGTTATACGAGGGTCATTAAGACTGTCACCTGTACAACACCAGTCGTTATACGAGGGTCATTAAGACTGTCACCTGTACAACACCAGTCATTATACGAGGGTCATTAAGACTGTCACCTGCACAACACCAGTCGTTATACGAGGGTCATTAAGACTGTCACCTGCACAAGACCAGTCGTTACACGAGGGTCATTAAGACTGTCACCTATACAACACCAGTCATTATACGAGGGTCATTAAGACTGTCACCTGTACAACACCAGTCATTACACGAGGGTCATTAAGACTGTCACCTGCACAACACCAGTCATTACACGAGGGTCATTAAGACTGTCACCTATACAACACCAGTCATTATACGAGGGTCATTAAGACTGTCACCTGTACAACACCAGTCGTTACACGAGGGTCATTAAGACTGTCACCTGCTGAAGATATCGTAATTATCAGTACCCATGGCTTCAGGGATGCTGACCTGACCTCATCTACTCACCCTTCTGCTGGGGTCACCGAGGGCAGATCTGGTCACCATGATCACCAGCACCACCACCACTGTGGTCACCCCCGCCATTCTCTTGACCTCGGGGTCACCTCCACACACCCCTGGGAATTCCTCCAGAAGGTAACTGTTGTGTTGAGGAGGAGGTGAGACCAGGTCAAGGGGAGGTCACGAAGGTCAACCAATGCAATCTGTAGAGAAGAAATAAACCAGAATTTTCAATGTATATATATATATATATATATATATATATATATATATATATATTCCTTCTCATTGTGAAATTGAATTTCTCTCTTTCTTTTCTCTCTCTCTCTCTCTCTCTCTCTCTCTCTCTCTCTCTCTCTCTCTCTCGCTTTCTCCTCCTCCTCCTCCTCCGACTATCACAATTAATTAGCGGGTCCTTAATACCATAATTACACCTCCTGTGGGAGTCCTGGGTCTCCAGTACTGAAGATCACAAAGGTCACCTCCTCCACCACTAGCACCGCTGCGCCTCTGCTCATAACTGTGCCTGAATTCCAAAGGTCTCTTCCAAGCCTTTGTAATGTATGCACTCTTGCTAACATTAAATTCTCTTAAATGAACAGTTTCTTGACTGTGTGTGTGTGTGTGTGTGTGTGTGTGTGTGTGTGTGTGTATGTATGTATAGTTGTGTAAATTTATATAGTTCCAAATTTTCATAGAAGAGAAACACGTGTGCAGCATTGCAAGACAAGCCACAAGGGTCAAAATTTCACTACATTCCAATAGGCATGTCGACCTTGTAGGAACCGGACTGACCCTCAACAAGCATCACCTTCCTTCCTTCCCTTCCCCTCGCCCTTCAAAGGGAATGGGGGCGGTGCTCCCTATATATTTATATATATATTATATATATATATATATTATATATATATATATATTATATATTATATATATATATATTATATATATATATATATATTATATATATATATATATATATATATAATATATATATATGAATAATATAATACATATATATGTATATATTTACAAGAGTTAGCGGTAAAAAAGGTCATCTGGTATCACGATTTCTTTATTTAACTTAAAGAAAACGACGACCGTGACTTTTGTAGCACCGACTCAAAAAGAAATATGTTACTGTGGAGGAAACTAAATTAACAACGAGATTTTTATACCTTAGGCAAAGATCATTTGTTGTGTCCTGATTATGGCTGTGTACACTGTGAGGTGTGTTTCTCAGGGTATGTACACTGTGAGGTGTATGTTCCTCGGTGTATATGCACTGTGAGGTGTATGTTTGTGTATGTACAATGTGAGGTGTATGTTTGTGTATATACACTGTAATGTGTATGTTCCTCGGTGTACTCACCTATTTGTTGCTGCAGGGGTCGATTCATTGCTCCTGGCCCCGCCTCTTCGCTGATTGCTACTACTAGGTGTATATACACTGTGATGTACATGTTTTTGCATGTACACTGTGAGGTGTATGTTCTCTGTATATATACACTGTGAGGTGTATGTTTCTCAGTGTATATACACTGTCAGGTGCTTCTCAGTGTATATACATTGTCAGGTGCTTCTCAGTGTATATACATTGTCAGGTGTTCTCGTGAAATATACATTGTCAGTGCTTTTCTCAGTGTATATACATTGTCAGGTGTTTTTCAGTGTATATACATTGTCAGGTGTTTCTCAGTGTATATACATTGTCAGGTGCTTCTCAGTGTATATACATTGTCAGGTGTTTCTCAGTGTATATACATTGTCAGGTGCTTCTCAGTGTATATACGCTGTCAGATATTTCTCAGTGTATATACACTGTCAAGTGTATGGTTCTCAGTGTATATGTACTGCAAGGTGCATATCTCTCAGTATACGTCCTGAGATGTATGTATATACACCTATACGGATGCGTATATACAGTGACAATTGTATATCTCTCAGTGTACATACACTGACAAGTGTATGAGTCACAGACAGCAACACTACTGCTGCTGACGTCTCTTCCCTCAGATGCAGAGATATCTCAATGCTGAAGTTATTCTCTCTCTGTCTCTATCTCTGTGTGTCTCGGTCTCTGTCTGTCTGTGAGCCTGTCTGTTTGCCTGTCTGTCTGTCTGTCTCTCTGTCTCTCTTCTCCTTTCTCTCTCCCCTCTCTTCGTCCCGTCTCTGTCTTCTCTCTCTCTCACCCTTTTCTCTCTCTCTCCCCTCTCTCCTCTTCCTCTTCTCTCTCCTCTTTTCTCTCTCTCTCTCTCCCCCTTTATACACAGATTTGACAGGTTAAGGATCCCTTAGCTTTTATTGACAAGCTATTTACAGGTTTAAAGGGTTCCTAACTTTTTTGACAAGCTAAGCCCGTTACCTTACATCAGCTCATTTGAAAGCATTTTTATTGTTAAAGAGACATACCCGTAGGAACAGGATGAAGTTTGGACCATCTGGGGCCAGCTTTTCAAATTTTATTTAATGACTTTACTCGTTGGCCCTCATTATTTCTGACGAATGTGTTCCCTACTCGATCAAACCTTGGGATTAGAGGATCCTCGATGAGTGATGTTCTGGAGAGGGTACAGCCAAGTGAAGTTGCTGCTTTCTGCCCGTTTTTGTGCAAAAAGCTTGTTTCACAGTGTCCTCGGAAAGTGGATCCAAGTGTGGTATTTTGACAATATTGGGCCTTGTACATAACATGGCCACCCACATTCCCTCCTATGTTGAAGGCTCCTGGCTGAAATGACAGATCTATCCAGGATGGGTCCAGGCGAGAGATAAACGTCTTGGCTCCTGTTCTCTACTCTGTCAAGCAGTCGCAGATGAGAGGGGGGAGGCAGGCAAAACCCAAAAAAGGGGGCATTCTCAAGGTAAAGAGGACTGTGCCTCGTACAGAATCTTGCAACCCCTACTGTCAAGCAGATGCGAGATACGGCGAAGTGCTGTAAGCTTCCTCGCTGCCTTGTTTGCAAGATTTACAACATGGTTCTTCATGGTTAGTTTGGAGTCAAATTTCACCCCAAGGATATCAACTTCTTCTCCAGGTGCCAACACCCTCCCATTCATCCTTACTGCTGCACCGGCATTACCATCATGGTGCCTAGAGACGATCATCATTTGCGTTTTCTCAGGTGCAAATGTTACTTGCCATCTATTTCCCCAAGCTGATATAGCTCTCAGCTGGTGATTGATGTAGCTTAGAGCAGCTGGTATTTCTTCTCTTGGATAAGTGAATGTCAGTGTACAGTCGTCTGCATATGAATGGAATTCTGGGATGAGATGAAGAAGGTCGTTGAAGTAGACATTCCATAACAATGGTCCCAGCACGCTTCCTTGTGGAACACTTGCCCCAATAGGATGTCTTGCTGATTCCGTTCCATTGAGAACTACACTTAGAGATCTACCATGAAGGTAATCACTGAGGAGACATAGCGTAGAGCCTGCAATTCCCAGTGCTTGAAGTTTTGCTAAGAGGCCCTGGTGCCACACCTGGTCGAAAGCGCCAGCAATGTCCAGTGCTACCACACAGCTGACTTTGGATTCATCCAGTGACTGGTGCCACTTAGTGGAGAGGTTTAACAACAGATCAGCAGCAGAGTAACCTTTCCTGAAGCCATACTGACGATCACAAAGTAGTGAGTGGTAGTCAAAAAACTCTGTCATTTGTCTTGAGATTATTGTATCAAGGATCTTACCAGTGATTGACAGAAGTGACTCTGGTCTGTAGTTGCTGATTTCTGCTCTGCTCTTCTTTTTGTGAACAGGGACTACATTTGCCTCTTTCCATAGAGAGGGTCATTTACACTGTACTAGGCAGTGCTGAAAGATGCGAGTTAGAGATGCTGCTAGCTTGTCTGCACATCTTCTCAGCAATCTTGGGCTCAACTTGTCTGGGCCCACAGCCTTTTCTTGGTCAAGCGATTGATGAAGGAAATGCACCTCCTCCTGCCTTATTGTCACCAGTGACAGTTTTGACACAGTTCTTGCAGCTAGCCAAGGAGGGTCCCTTGCAGGATCAGGAACTTGCATTTTGGTAGCAAAGTGTTCAGCAAAGAGGTCGCCTTCTCTTGGACTTATATTAGAGGTTGGGTCCCCATTCCTGTCGATTTAGCGGTGGGAAGAGGTTCTTCTGGAAGATAATACTGGTCTGTCCTTGAAAGGGACCACCAGGTTTTGGAGCCTACCTACTGATGCTAACTTTCTTTTAGTGTCCACCTCCACATTTAGCAATGGCCACTTTTGAACATCACCATAGCCTACAGGCTTGCATGTGCAAGTTCCTGTTATAGGTGGTTGATGTCTCTTATACCTTCGCCATGCTTTGTACCTTAGCAGTTTACCTGGGAGTTTACCTGGAGTTGTTTCGGGGGTCTCATCGCCCACGCGGCCGGTCTGTGACCAGGCCTATGGTGGATCAGCGGCCTAGATCAACCAGGCTGTTGCTGCTGGCTGCACCGCAAACAACGTACGTGCCAAGCAGGCGATCAGGAACTGACTTTAGGTGCGTGTCACAGTGCCAGTTGGAAGACTGCCAGGGGTCTTTTGTAATCCCCTTATGTGGTGGGAGGACAGTTGAACAGTCTCCGGGCCCCTGACACTTATTGTATGGTCTTTTAACGTGATAGTGTCATCCCTGCTTTTACATTGGGGGGATGGTGCATCGTCTGCCAAGTCTTATGCTTCGTAGTGAGTGAGTTTCGTGTGGCAAGTTCGGTACTAGTCCCTGTCACAAGTGAGACATACGTGTGTCAATCCGGCCAAAATGTAAACTAAATCATGTATCTCTCCTCCTGCGTTCCAGGGAATACTGGTTTAGAAAACCTCAAGCGACTCCCAGTAATTGAGGTGTTTTTATCTCCGTTATCGCGCCGTGAATGGTTTCTCTGTACATTTTCTAGGTCAGGGCAATTTCACCTTGCCTTGAAAGTGCTGTTAGAGTGCAGCAATATTCCAAGCCTAGATAGAACAAGTGACCTGAAAGGAGTGTCATCATGGGCTTGGCATCCCTAGTTTTGAAGGTTCTCATTATCCATCCTGGTCATTTTTCTAGCAGATGCGATTGATACATGTTATGGTCTTGAAGTGAGATCCTCCGACATAAATCACTCCCAGTCTTTTGACGTTGGTGCGTATGCAGCTTCTCTACACGACAAGCCAAACCAAGGCTGATAGTAGGGCTTCGTCACATATTGCTGGTGCAGGATGTTTCTTG